TATAAATTTTATTTCTTTCTCTTTTTTTATTTTATTTTATTATCTTAAATTTTTTTTATTGATAAACATTAAATGACAATAATTATATTTAAATTTTTAAAAAAAAAAAAGGTATTTTATCAATGTAATGTCATCGATTATCATTATTATTCTCTATAATATCGATAAGATAAAAAAATGAATGAATGAATGAATGAATGACGTTTTACGTTTATGTTTTTTTATCATTGAAAAAAAATTCATTAATAAAATTTTTTCTATTGTTTTATCGATTCTTTTTATGACGTAATTAATTTAATTAATTAAAATTATCAAATTTTTATTTTATTCCATAGACTTAAATGATAATAATAATAATAATCGTGCCAAATGAATAATTGTGAAGCCAAAATCATTTTTAAAAAAATCTCTAACGTATTTTATTTTTAAATTAAGCTATTTTTTTGTTTTTTTTTTCGATCCGTAAAGAAAATAATTTTAATAGAGCTTTTTGTTAATTATATACTTTTGTTTTGAAAAATAAAGCAGACGATAAAAGGTCAAATTGTAATAAAAATAGATATTTAAAAAAAAAAAAAAATTTTTTTTAACTTAAATTTTTGATTTCGGCAAAAGCGTTGCATATCTGTATCACTAATAGTATAAACAAATTTTTGTAAGGCGTATTATTTCTCTATTTCTTTATTTGAAGGATGCATTATTCGATTTATTTTTTTTTTTTAAACCATATTTTTAATATTTATCATTGAAAATATTATATATATATAAAATAAAAATTTTTTTTCCTGTTAAAAAAAAAAATTCGTTAAATCTGTTTTTTTTTCAAAATTATGTAATGAAAAAAATTTTTTTTTTTGCATAACTATTATCGTAATTATTTTTATGGAAATAATTTGTACTTTCAAATTTCTCAGAAAAAAAAAAGATTAATGATTTTTTTTTATTCGCATTTCTTTTTGATACCGTTTAATTTTAATTTAACTTGCTGCTCTTGTAAATGTATATATTATAGTAACCGTGACCATGGCCTTCCCCAATCTTAACGATTTTCGTTGTTCTAAATAAAAAAAGGAACGATTTTAATCATGCGCTTTTCCACGAGCCAAATATGACATGGTTGTTCCATGAAGTAAATATCTTCTTCGAAATTATTATGGTGGAAAGTACGTGCACTTTTGTACGTCATCAAGCGCACATTTGAATCCACCAATCACAACTCGAGATTGACTATTGTCCTGCGCACTAAATTCACTACGATTAAAAAAAAGAAAATGATTTTACGTTACATAAGGTAAATATAAGAGCTAAATTTTTTTTTATTCTACCTAAATAGCATTTTCTAATAAAAGAATCAAGCAGTACACGGGTGTGTTTCATTGAAATAGGTTATCATTATTTCTGGACATTATTTTTTAATTATTGTCTGTTTACATATTCAATCGTTTTACATTATCTTCACATCAAATTTTTATTGTAAACATACCATTTAACCTTTTTTTATATTTGTTTGAAGTTAAATCAAACAAACGTAAACACGTAAAGAAGAGAAAAAAAAAAGTCAACAAGTGAAATTCTAGAATATTCTACGGCCTAATATATAGTACCAGTCAAAATCAAAGCTTTTAAAATTTATAATTGAAATTTTTCCACGCGTGTCAAATTATTATTCATTGAAAACAAAGATGGCGTTTATGATGCCCGTGGTTAAGAATGACTGGGATATTTACAAATCCAATCGGTCGAGGAGAAGCTCGGAATGTTCAAATGGACAGTCATGTCGAAGCAGAAAAGTATCGGAATGTAAATCGGAGTGTCCCAGTTTATCCACTTCTCCTGGAAGTGACTTTTTGGTCGGGTCTCCGGCTCATCGCTCGGTGCCAATGAACATGACACACGCTGGTCGTGGCTTTTCAAGAACGTCATCAAGGACAAGCCAAAGCAGTTTGCAGTCTCCAAACAAATCAATCGGTTCTAGCCCACCGAAGAGTAGCTCGTCGAGTTCTTTGAACAAATTTCACACGAGATTAGTTGATAAGTTAAAAAAATCACTAACCAAATCAGATTCATCTGGAAATGTAAGTAACAGTAGGAGTGCATCATGAGGATGTCGGCAAAACAATGAAAAGGACGTGCTTTTGCAGTCAAGATCAACTCCACTAAACATAACGAAAAACTCAAATTTAAGTTGTCATACATCATCTTCCTATCCGGACTCGATTGCATGGTCAAGAACATGATGAAAAAATGGCTTTAATAATAATAATATGTGCTTGATAAAATTTAATTTTAAAGCTTTACTTGTCTAGTTACAATATTTGTGCTAATATTTTTAGGATATAAAAGTGATATAATAATTACACATGATTTACCAGGTTTACCAGGCATTCTCGAAAGTGTATGATACATCTTGAGAGATTTATTTAATTATAAAAGGATAATTAAAGTATCTGTTTCTGGCAGATGCGAAAAAGATAGATTCATAACATCATTAAAAATATCCCTGGCTGTATGTATATATATATATATTTTGTTTGTTTGTTTGTTTTGTTTTTTTTCTCTCTCTTTCTTTCTCTCTTTCTCTTTCTCTGTCTTTTTTCTTCAGTAAGTAATTTTGTGACCTAGTTTATCCATTATTTTACATGGCCTAAAAGAATTTGAATAATTTGTGGACAATTTGTTTTTATTTTATTTTTTTTTCTTTCTTACAAATATTGGTAAAAGCTTGAATTTTATAACTTTCGATAAAGGGAAAATTTTTTTTAAAAGAAAAAATAAGAAAGATAATCAGTCAAAAAGAGGCTTATTCGATGTTTGTACACAAACATTGAGTCATTATCATCAACATTTATTTTATATTATTAATTAATTTTTTTTTTTGTAATTAATATTTAATTTTCAGCTTTAAAGTTGTTTTTTTTTATATATATATATATATTTATATTAGATGAGTTTAGTATTTGTATATTATAGTATTATTTATAATAATTTAATGTCCAAGTCCTAGTCTTTTCTGTTTTGACTCGAATCGTAATTTTAGTTTTAAAATATGATGAACATGAAATTATTTAAAAAATTGTTATTCATTGAAATTATGTTAATTATGATAAAGTTGCATAAAATTATTTTTGTAAGATTTACATAATAAATAGGTAATTACAAATATTCAACTCATCTAGATTCCAAAGAATTATTTATAGATTCATTTCGAGTAAAAAATTACATGAGATTTTTATCAGTATAGATAAATAATAAAAAGTTGTTGACCCATTCGAAACAATTCAAGTTAAAAGTTTTTTATTATTATTATTATTATTATTTTTTCAAGGCTGTCAGGTAAAAATAATTTACAATATTAATTGTAAATTATTAATATTTGTTTAACGACAAAATTTAATCCGAGTACAATATCATTTTTTTGTTTTTTTTTTTTCTCTCTATTTTCGAAAGTTACATAATATTGAAATGATAATTTTTTTTTTTTTTTTTTTTTTTTTATCGTCGTTATTTAAATAAAAATTGATTGACTGAAATTTTCTTATTGCCTGGTTTTAATTAAAATAGAATGAAAAAGAAAATTATTGTCGAATAATTTTATTTTTTTCATTATTTACCATCCACGTCTTGGCAATACAAGGCAAGTGAATTCTCATAGTTACTAGAAATTTTTTTTTTTTTTTTTTTTTTTTAGTTTCTGTGATGAAAGCATTCCCACAAGTTAATTATTATTATTATTATTATTATTGTTAAAGGCAGCATGAAATATGATTATTATTTTAATAATAATTTATTAGACAAGTATTAAAAGTGAGGTTTTGTATTTTCAATGGTATTATACCTGTATTTAATTTTTTTATTTGACTCTGTAAGGGGGTGTCCATAAGTTATTCAAAAGGGTCAAATATTATTTAATAAATTGTTGACTGTGTCAACTATGTAAATAAGATTATGTCATTAGACGTGCAAAAAAAAAATAAAAAAAGTTATATTATATTAAAAATTTTCATTTCAAGTTGTGTAAAAAAAAAAAAATAAAATAAAATTCTCGATTGAGAAAAAATTTTATTTTCTTAATCGATTCCAAAAAGAAAAAAAGAAAAACAAATTAGATTTCATCTTTTTTTTTAATAAAAAAAATAAATTATTGGGAAAATGTTATTGAAATTTAAACAAAAATAAAATTTTTTTGGCCTTGAATAAAAGTGCTAATAATAATAGAATAAAATATGTCTTATTGAAATCGATTTGGATTATTATTAATAAATATCACCCATTTAATAGAAATCAAAAATTTTTAATAATAATAATAAAAAAAAAGATGTCTTCTAATTGTTTTTCTCTTTTTTTAATGATTAAAATATATTTGTTGCTTAATTTTTTTAATTTTATCATACGTTGTTGACTTTTGATTTTAAAAATAAATTTTTGTATTTTGTAACGATGATATTTTATTTTATATTATTGTTACATTTATTTATTTATAAGGCAAAAAGAAAAAAGAAAGAAAGAAAAAAAAAAAACTAAACTAAAAACAAATGGCTATGATTAATTGGTACCTACAATTAGTTATTTAAGTTTATTATTATTATTATTATTATTTAAGGAAAATTTTGTTTTTCTTGAGGGGGTGTTTTCTTTTTTCTCTCTACTGGCCAATTTTTTTTTTTTTTTTTTTGAAAAGTACTTACGTTTAATTTGTTTTCATTAGGTTGTGCAGTTTTATTCGATTTAAAAATTTTTTTGTTTTTTTTTTAAAAAAGGGGGGAAAATTGTCACATTTTGTTGTCCACAATCCTTTGCTGTTGTTATTATTATTATTTCTTAATAAAGTCACGTGATAAAGAAAAATTTTTATGGCCAATTTCTTCATCATACTATATAAATAAATGCTTGTTGACTTATTTTAAGTCGATGCTCAAATTGTTCCTCCAAATGCTTATTTACAAATAAATAGTACATTATTTTATATTATTATTATTATTATTATTATTATTAATGATATTAAAATATATTATATATATATATAGATGCGAATGACAACTAAATTTTGGTTTTTTTTTTTTTTTTACATAACTTTTTTTTTTCTCATTTTTTTTTTGTGTAACATGCAATCAATACGTTTCATTATGTCTATTTACTACTACTACTACTATTATTATTATTATCGTCATTATTATTATTATTATTATTATTAAGCTATACCTTATTATTATTAATTTTTAAGTGTTGAAAAAAAATTGTTTGTTTTCAAAAAAAAATTATCTTTTAAAATAAATGAAAAAATTTTTTTTTAAATAAATGATTTATTTTATTTTATTTTAATAATAATAATAATTATTATTATTATTATTATCATCCATCGTAAATAGATTTAATAAATAAATAAGTTATTAATTTGGTTTGGTTGTAAACAAAAATCCCGGTAATATAAAATAAAATTCGGATTAATCCTCTGGGCCGATTTCCAAAATAAATTATTACATAAATTTTTTTTTATTATGTAATTATTTATTTATTAATTTTCTACATATATGTATATTATTTATTAAAAAATAATTTGAAGTATTCGTATTGTTTTAAACTGGATTTATTTATTTATTAATTACGAAATGTTGTGTTAATTGCATAAAATCGTGCAACATGAAATTAAATTTTCACACGTGACAAATAAATTTGTTTAAATAATTGATTGGCGTTAAATAAAAATTAATAATAATAATAATGATAATAAAATTGTATTAATTTTTAATAACGTTAATTGAGTAATGGAAGGACGATAACCAATCATTTCCCTATATGATATTATTAATAATATAAATAAATAAATTTTTTTTTCAATGATTAATGTTGTTGTAGGTCAACATAAGGATAAATTTTCAGAGAGGCCTTCCCGTTTAATAATAATAATAATAATAATAAAACATAATTGATTATTAAGGAAATAAAAGTATAAGTTTTATTTATAATTCGACGAAATAAAACCGGTGTTATTAATTAATTATTATTATTATTTTATTAATAAATTTATTTATTTATTTATTTTTACTCATTTTATTTATTATAAAATTCAAAAAAACATTTACAAGAATTTTGATTAAATAATTAAATTTTATTAAAAAGGATTAATTAAAACAACATTCTAGAAATTTCTACGAAAAAAACCGTTAAAAAACATCTTTATAAAAAATATGTTTGTTTGTGTTTTCTTCCTTCCTATTATTTTAAACAAACAAACAAAACAAGATTTTTTTTATGTTTTACGTTAAAAAAACTTGAATGTTGTTTTAAATTATAAAAAAAATATATTATAAATTATTATTATTATTATTATTATTATTAATATATATATTATTTAAAATGATTGTGTTGCAACAAAAACAAAACAAAAACAAGTTTAATTTCCTTTTCGTTGTTTGTTTATGTTGTTGTTTTTGTAAAAGAATTTTAATAAACTTTCATATTTTTTTTTAGGTTCAAATCAAATTTAACGAAAAAAGTAAACAATAAAGATTTAATATAATTAACAATAATAATAATAATAATTAGTAAAATAATAATAATAATAATGATAATTTTATATTCACGTTCAACAGTTAATCGGCTGAATCAAGTTAAATTTTTTTATCTTTTCCATTATTTTCGTGTTAAGGACGGTGTGTGGGGTCAACGTCCTTCCTTGTCCTAACTTTACTATTTCTATTAAATATTATTATATGTTTATTATTATTATTATTATTATTATTATTACAAATTGTATGTTTTTGTTTACCGTTCAGTTTTTTTTTGATTTGTTCCGCAATAGTATTTTTATTAGGTCATATTGATAAAATTTTGTAAAATGTTTGTTTTTAAATGAAAAAGATGTTTGTTTGTTTACATGTTCGCCATTTCTAAAACGAATTTTAAAAAAATTTTTTTTTTTTTTGCATACATGTAATTATTATTTTGGCGGTTAATCGATCGAACGATTTAATAATGATTCTAAAAAATTATGAATGAACTATAAAAAATGAATGAATGGTTTTTTTTTGAAATAGTAAAATCTCAAATGTGAGTTTTAAAAAAAAAATTTGCGTATAAACAATTTCCCCACGTTTTTAATTTTTTTTATGCTCGTGTGCGTATTTGCGTATGTGCGTGTGCGTGTGCGTGTTTTTTAATAGATTCCACAATATGAATAAAAAATAAAATAAAGTTATAAATAAACGACTTTGAAATAACCTTGTTATAAAAATAGGTATAAATTTTATATCGCGCGTGCTCGTTAGACCTTTTAACCAACCATCCATGCTTTTGGCATTAATATTTAAAATTTTTTTTTTTTTACTTTCTCTTTTTCCGTGATTACTTTTCTGTCTCGTTCCTTGTTGTTGTTTAAAGCTAATAATAATAATAATTAATTAATTTATATTTAAATTTGAGGATGATAATAATTTACAAAGATTTTTGTTATTAGTCGAACATATTTTATTCTTAAAAGAAATCATAAAATACAAAAAAAAAAAAAAACACCCATTTATTTTTTTTATTTAAATAAATTAAAATTTAATTATAAATTCTCCAATTTCGTCAAATTTTTTTTCAAGTATTTTTCCATATTCGACAGCATCGTGTAAATCGTGAAAAATAAACGATTTCGGTATGTCAATAAATAAATTTGATTTTTCCATTGTCGAATATATACCGGGATTACACCCGCACAATAAAATGTCGGATTTGTATATTTTTAAATCTTGTTTTAAAGATTTGAAACATTTTATGGCGGAAGAATCGATAAATGGTACTCGGGATAAATCTAAAACCATAGGTCTATTTTTTTTTAATTTTTCTTCGTTCGCGAATGTCAAAGACATATTTTTATACATGTTGATATAAGTTTTTAAAAGTGAGGTTTTAACGTCGTTTGAATTTGCAAAATGGATGCCTCCGACTACCCTTAAAATTATTACATTGTTAACGATTTGTGATTTTTTATAACGATTTAAGTCTAAATAAGTTTTTGTATTCGGTATGGAACCCAATGAAATAATTTGAAATTTTTTGCATTTATATAGTAAAGAACCTGCGGATGCTATCAATCCCACGCCTAAACCGTAACTTATGTCAAATATTATAACGGATAAAAATGTCGAGACCCAAACCAAACCCTCAAGTTTACATGTTTTGAATATGCCTGGAACTTCTTTTATTTGCACGAACATTCCTTTTAGCGCGACAACAATT